TCTTAAAAGCTTGCAAGCATCCATCTAAGATAAATTTATTGGTCCCATCCTGTCCAGAGCAAAGGGAGAATGATGAAAACCAAAGACACAAAGAAAATATTAGCCCAAAGGACTAATGGACCACATGAACCAGAGGCTCCACCAGCCTGAGCCTAGAAGAACTAGGTGGTGCCTAGCTACCACTACCACCACTCTGGCAGGGATCACAACAGAGAGTCCTGAAAAGACTGGGAGAAAAATGTAGAACAAAATTCAAATCCACAAAAAAAGACCAGACTTACTGGTCTGACAGAGACTGGAGGAACCCTGGAGACTATGGCCTCTGGACACGCTGCTAACCCAGAACTGAAACTACTCCTGAAGCCCACTTTTCAGACAAAGATTAGACAGGCCTATAAAACAAACAATAACACACGTAAATGACGTATTTCTTAGTTCAATCAAATATACAAGACCAAATGGGCAACTAGTGTCCAAAAGCAAGACGAGAAGGCAGGAAAGGACAGGAACTGGATGAATGGACACAGGGAACCCAGGGTGGAGAGGGGGAGAGTGCTGACACATTGTGGGGATTACAACCAATGTCACAAAACAATATGTGCATAAATTTTTGAATGAGAAATTAACTTGAGCTACAAACTTGTAACTAAAGCACAATAAAATAAAAAAAAAAAAAGGATATGAAAATCAGTGAAGGGATATAGTCTTTTCAGAAGGCAGAAACAACAGATAATGTGAGTATTGAAAATAGGCTTAAGCTTCCAGCAGCTGCAGTTAGGCTAAACAACTGTTTGACATTGTCCCCTTATCTGTGTCCACAGAAAGGTTATTATTTCTCTTCTTGACTGTAGATGCATTGTGGGTACATATTGTAGAAACTTCAATAAAGGTCCTAAAACACATAACTATTTCCAAGGAATAGAAATTAAAAAAAGAAAAGAATAGAAGTAAAACCAAGATGACTTTGTCAGGGTTTACCAGTGCAGAGATTTCTGGGATGAAGAGATGTGATGAGTGGAGATAAGTATGTCATGTACTTCCATAGGGAGAATGTGAGCTGAGGGAAGGGAAAATGCAATAAAATGAGAAAAGATTAGACCCTGGTAGTGCATAGCAAATTATCATAGTATGCCCCCTCACCATATGCTCATTCCACGATAAGTTCATGTTCCAAGATGAAATGAGAAATTAAGACGTATGGCATTGGGGATGCTGGAAAGAATAATAATAAAAGGAGTCTGTGTGATTAAAAAAAAAAAATCCCAAATAACCACATCCAACAAATAGTCATTTTCAATGTTATCACACACATTTATTTTTCCCATTAATTTTGAATGTTATTATGCAAATTTGAAATCCCTATATTTCCTTCCCTTGCTTCTGTAAGGTTTACTCACAAGTCTGTTTTGCTGATAGGTTATGAACCTCTCTGTTATTTGTTGTTGTTATTTTCTTTTGATTATGAGAATCCAGGAGTCATGATGTAATGTTGCTATGGCAATGAATATGTACAAATAGATGGTTAAGGGTGGGGGTGGGTAGGTTAAGTGTTGAGAAACATATTTTGCATGTAAATTTGTCTCCAATGATTTCAGAAATCTTGCATGTAATTTTTTCTCTGGTCTGTACACAAACTATCAAAGAGAACCGTGTTGTATTATATCAATCTTGAACGGTGCATTTCTATTGCTTCTGTTAAATAACAGGAGCAAGTCAATATGCTCCAAAGAATATTTTCCTAATAATAGTTCATTTAAAAAGACATTGGATTAATACTGGATTAATTTCCATATGTGTCTGTGTGTTTGCATATGTGTAAATAAAGTATATTCCTTTAAGTAAAAATTAGAACACGTTACAGAATGTAGGTCTTTTCTTGGTTACTATGAAGGTGCCATTAAGAGCTCAAGCATTTTAGAAATGGTTATAATTGCTTAAGAATACAGTTTGCCATCTGTTGGGATTCAATACACTGAGAGTGGCTATTCCTTATTTCAAAGCTTCCAGAATATTGACCTTGGAAGGAGAACATTCACAAGAGGACAGGGGTGAGGGCTGGGGGTTATTTTATTTGAAAACCTAGTTTAAAATAGTTTTACAACTTAAGTACTTAGTTTTTGACGTATTAACCTTTCTTGTTGTGGCACAGAACTTTGCCCTATGAATTCAAAAGATATTGGATGGCCATATGTTAACTGGCAAGTTGCCTACCCACTCTTTCTGTTTCCTTCTACCGTGCTTAAGGTAAAGGTAAAGATCCTTGCCATCTGATGAGGATCAACACTGTCCAGTAGAGACATAACACGAGCCACATATGTAATTTTAAATTTTCTAGTAGTCCTGTTAAAAAATTAAAAGGAAATAGGTGAAATTAATTTTGATAATATATTTTATTCAACCCAATATATCCAAAATATTAGCATTTCAACATGTAAGCAATATAAAAATTATTAATGATATGTTCCTATATTCTCGTTTTTAGACCAAGTCTTTGAAATCCAGAGTTTATTTTACACTTACAGCACATCTCAGTTTGGACTAGTTATATTTTGAGTGCTCAATAGTCACATGTGGCTAATGGCTACCATATCAGACGGTGCACCACTAGACTAAAAGGAAAACTTTGAGTTTGTTCAGAAGATTGAAGATATGCAATATCAGATTTCTTGGGATAATAACCTTGCTTTCTTAGAAGATAAGAGCTTTCCAACTTACAGAGGACGTTGCTCACTGTATTCAAGGGACAAAATAAATATGTGGCGAGTGAATACTTGACATTAGTGCGATGCCTAATGGTTTAACAGTGCTTTCACACACATTATCCTTTTTGACCCTGGTCATAATTCTGAGTAATAGGAAGGGATGAGCAGTTCCCTAAATCCTGCCCTTTAGGCTCTAAGTTTCGCAATCTCACCATAGATCACAATCTAGGGTACAGTTACCAAATAACGAGCAAGCCAAGTCAGCTAAATTATAATGTGTCCTAGCATTTTCTTGCCTTTTTTTTTTTTTTTTTAAAGCATCTGTTTTGTGGGTGTCTGGAAGGGTTCAGACTTGTCCCATATTTCCAAATTTTTATTTGTTTAGATCCAGGATAAAATGAGAACAAAGTCTTTTTATGCTTAGGAATCTTTTGATTCATCTAAGGTGAGGAAGGGAAGTGATTCTCAAGACTGTCACCGTCATGCCTCAAAGTTCAACAACCATACCACCTTCAATACTGTGGTCCTTTTATAAACCAAAAACCATACTTGTTGTTATTGAGTTGATTCTGCTTATGGTGACCCCATGTGTTAGGTACCACTGCCTCCAAGAGTTTTCTGGCTGTAATCTTATTGGAAGGTCTCTGCGTGGTGCAAATGGTTTGCACTGGGTGGCACAAATGGTGAAGCGCTCAACTACTAGCCCAAAGTTTGTGGTTCAAATCCACCCAGAGGTGCCTCAGAAGACAGGCCTGGCAAACTGCTTCCAAAAGTTCACATCCTTGAAAACCCTATGGAGCAGTTCTATTCTGCACGCGTGGGGTCACCATGAGTAGGAATCCACTTCACAGCAACTAACAACAATGACACTAATTGGAAGGTTGATGGCTCGAGTCTACCCAGCAGCACTGCGAAAGAATGGCTTGGAGATCTGCTTCCATAAAGATTACAGCCAAGAAAACCCTATGGAGCTCACTTAGTTCTACTCTGTAACACATGGAGTTGTCATGACTCAGCATTGACTCCAAGGCAGATTATTCGTTTGTTTGTTTTTTAAATCTTAACAAAAATAGATACCCAGGTCTGTCTTCTGCAGTGTCACTGGGTAGGTTTGAACCACCAATCTTTATGTTAGTAGTCAAACACAAACTGTTTATTGTCACCTAGGGACATTTTGGTCCTTTGATAGTAAAGTCAATTATACACATCCTTTCACCAGGCCTTTTATAGAACACTCATGTTATTTAGTGCTGAGCTAGGTGAAGCAGCAAGTAATATCTCTTACTCTAAAGCAATTAATTTATATGACTTAATCATTTTTCAAGGAACTCCCTAACAGTTGTAATAAAACCAGTATTGGATTCTTGGCTTTTTGTGTTATTAAATTTAAAATTATTCCATTCACTTTCTATAAATGCACAGGCTACATAGGTCAATTGAATTTAGGCTAATTTCTATTGATTGGAAATGTTGCCTTTCTATTTTCAATCATAATTCACACGGGAAGCACACGCATTTGACAACAAGTTTCTAGGGATTTAAACTATTTTCGACTTTAATTCTTCCCCTTCCCTTAATCCGCGTGTGTAATCTGGTGAGATGGTAGCTGCCAAGGTGCCTTCCATAGGACGGGCGCTCTATCTCCAAACCCGGATTACACATTACAAATGGCCATATCACCTGGCGCAGGTGGTCTAGCTTTGGTCGCCCATTCACAGAGGGGAGGGTCTTCAGAAAGCACCAGATTAGAGATGAGGTTTGTTAAACCAAACCCCTAGGTCCCGCAAGCAGTTGGAAAATTGGTCATTCCCAGGGCTAGACGAAGAGGGCGCCCTTCCACAGATGCGTGCAGTGCCAAGACTAGATGTTGGGACAAGCCGGGCAGAAATACCGGCGGGGACGGGGCGGGGAAAAGGAGCTGCCGGCTGTCTCATGGCGCAGCCCAGTTATAAAACCTTCAGGGCACTGGACTAAATGAGTATCACAAGAGCCGGACCGTTGGATAGTCTGTAAAAAACTATAGTGCGGACCACCAGGAAGCCTTTGCAGCGTGATTGAAGTTTCCCTAAAGTCTCAGCGGGGCTTTCCCTACGGACCCTCAGCCCCTCCTAGAGGATCCAGGCTTTGGGCCTCGGCGCCGCTTCTCCCCACCCTTCCTCAGCACCAGCTCCGGGCGATCTCCCTATCCCGCCACCCGGGCCGCCTCTGCCTCCTGCCCCGCAGCAACAGGCCCCAGCGGCTGCGAGAAGGCGCAAGGGGCGGAGGCGCGGCAGGGGCGGGCTCTGTCGCCCTCCCCCTTCGCCAGCCGGCTGCAGGGGCCAGTGGCAGGAGCTACGCGCACCGCCAGCCGCGGGGGGCGTGGGATGGGGGAGGCAGAAGGAGGCGGGCGCCCGCACTGATTAGAGGCAACGGCACACTTCAAAAGGGTGTCGGGGCTGCGCTCCCCTCCGGCGCCCCCGGAACTTCAAAGCTGCCCGCGGTGACCCGGCCACCTCGTTGCGCTCCGGAGCCTCGCAGCCCCGGCGCGCCCGCCTAGTGGCCATGACCCGGGCGCTCCGCTCCGCGCTTCACCAGACTCTCCTGCTGCTCGCCGCGGCAGCCGTGCTCTCTGCAGGTAGGGCGTCCCTTCCCCCGCACCTGCGAGGGTGGAAGTTGGGAGCCGTCTGCAAGTGGGCAGGGGCGTAGGGGATGGCGGTGGTTAGAGCAAACTGACCTTCGGAGGGAGGAGGAGGAAGCTCTGGTCCCGTTGAGAGGGCGCGGGATAGAGCGCAGCTTGGGCACCTGACATCTGGCAGCCGTAGGGGTAGACAGGTGTGTTGGGTATGAAGCCACCAGGACGAGGGGAAAAAAAGACAGGACACGGGGGTATAGATAGTAGGGATGAGGTGGGTGACAGAAATTTGGGGACTGTTTGCAGGGAAGGGAGCAGGAGTGTGTTTGTGGGTCGCGCACGCCTGGGAGAGGGGTGACCCCACAAGTTCACCCTGCAGGAACGGGGAGGGCTGCAGGTGCTGAGCCCTGGAGAGCTGCGCAAGGATGGTGGCATGGTGATGGGGGTTGTTGGAGAGGCGATTCAGCTTGGATTTTAGGAGGCGAGGGATACCCCAAAAGCCACTGATGCCAAGTTACGGAGGCGGGAGTGGGAGCTTAAACCTCCGTAGTTTGCAGCGCACGTTGCTTTCGAGGTACGATCTTTACTAACAGTTGAAGGGAGGGAAAAAAAAAAAAAAGAAAAAAAAAATTCTGGCAGGCGCCCCAGCGTTTATAGCAGGTCTGTGCCTTGATAGGCTAAATAGAGCCCTCAGCCCAAGCTAGAAACCAAACGTTTCTTTATGTTTACCAGAAACTGGGGCAAATGCGTCTTTGCTAAAATCAACTCTCTATTTTTTATTGCGTTATTAACCTGGGTTATGTAGAATAGGAGCAGATTTCTTGCTAACTCATTCTTTAAACATTTCAATCATACAGTTAAGACATTTGCACATAAAAACCAAGTGTACGTTGTCTGAATGTGATTTTGATGTATTTTTGTTTTCCCAGATGACAATCTGTTTGACATTAATAGCTATAGTTGAGGGTGGGTAGGTTTCCTCTTAGTGACATGTGCAGGAGAATGCTTTGAATAGTGTGATTGCTGTCATTTACAGATGCTAGTGTTTTAGATGGCCTGAGGCAATCACTAAATACAATATTTAAGTGAACAGTTGATTAATAAAATAGGAAGATTAAAGCATTCTAGTTAGCTTTTATTTATTTTTTATTTAATTTTTTTGTTGTTGTTGAGAATATACACAGCAAGACATATAGCAATTCAACAGTTTCTACATGTACAATTGAGTGACGTTGATTACATTCTTTGAGTTGTGCAACCATTCTTACCCTCTTCTGAGTTACTGCATTCCAGTTATCTTTGAAAAGGTACAGCCTTTTAAGAAACATCCAGAGAGGCACCCAGAGAGTGAGATGATGGGATAAAGTGAAATACTTGCATTCAAAGGTAGTCAATTTATCAATGGAAAAGGAGCTGACTCTGGGAGTCTTTATAAGAAATGGGCGGAAACTCTACTAACTTCATACACTCAAAAAGTGCTCTTGACGACTTAATAGAACCTACCAAAAAAAAAAAAAAAAAAAAAAAAGAAAGGCTTTCCAGATATCACACTTTTGACTGTGCACCCTATGAAACTGTCTCTGTAGGCTGTCTGCACAACCCTTTTTCTGGGGTGGAGCTAACAACTTGGCTGCAGACATTTTAAAAAAAAAAACACTCTCAATTATCTTTTATCTAGTTAGAAAGGTATATTTTGTTATGTGACAGATCTTTAGAAAAATTTCAGAGACCCTGGGCATAGTTGTATAATAAAACATGGCCCGTTACATTTTTTAAAATTTTTTAAAGTAATTTTTAACTGTTGACATTGATGTGCAAAAAAAAAAGAAAAAAAAAAACAATCGTTCATTCAAATGTGATTGTTTCTTTAAAATCTAAAAGCTAAGAAAATGCCTGATATGGGATAAAGCATCAATCTAGTAGAGAAGTGCTTGTCAAGCTGAGCTTTTCAGTGAACTTTTCCATTGCAAATACAATGATTTTCAAATCTCTTTAAGAAGTTTTTACCTCTTTGTATCCCGTAGAAACGTCTATTGCCATTTACCTTTTTTATTCCTATTTTTGATTGATTCTTTGGTTATTTGGTAGAGGGATTCAAGGTGATTTCTTTTTCTAACTGGTCTTCTCATGTAGTTTCCTACATTATTTTTGACCTGGTCACTTTATTAATCACATTATTAATCATGTTGACCATTTATGAAAATGTACTTGTCATGATTGGCATGCTATAACTGATATTGCTCTTGGCGTGGTGGGCCAGCGAAACTGCACAACAGAATGTACCAGCTTCCAACTTTGCTATGCTGAGTGCCAGGCATAAGACCTTAAATATCTGGCAACATTGATAAACTGCTATTTTTTCCCAACACCTGGGCAAGTCACCCAAGGCTTGCCATGCATTAACAGAATGGAAACCATTGCTTCATAATGAGAATCTTAGAGGATAAGAGCTGGTGGAAACTTAGAAAAAATATTTATTGGTCTGGACTGGATTAAAAAGTAGGCTGCTCTGAGTTGCTTTGATTATCTGGGTTCTAGATTCATTGACGCTTGATAAGAAAGATCTGACACGATCTCACAACAGTCATACATAATAAATACAGAATGGCAGAAAATGTACTGGAGTTCTGTATTTTGAAACTGTGATTTGGATATTATATAGATTTACACACTGTGCATTTCCCTTCTGATTTCATGAAACTTCTTTGTCCTCTGGTTAGGAAAGGATTATTGAAAATCTAGAAGCACGTATGGAGTCATGAATCAGAATCGTCTCGATGTCAACTAACAAGAACAACATAAAGCTATATGCTATTAATATAAAAGCAAATAGATAACTGTTTTATTTAGTAACTGAGGTGGGGTGGGGTTCAGATAGTAAGATTTTTCTCCCCTAACAACAGTTAAAGAAGAAAAGTCTGTTGATCTACTTCTGAAAAATTAGCCATTGAAAAACCTATGGTGCACCATTCTACTCTGACGCACGTGGGGTTGCCATGAGTCCACCGGCAATGGGCAACTGGTAACAGTAGTTAGTGGTTCTACTAAAAGCTTTAGGCTGTACTGTCTGGGAAGTGAAAGTGAAAGCCTTGCCCTTCTTTGCCACCTTTGCCCTTCTTTAAAGTGGCAAGAGGCTCCTTGGTTCCAAGAAGAGACGTCGCTGGCCCAGGAGGAGCTTTCTGTGCAGAAGCCCTCAGGGGCTTATTTCTTCATTGACTCTACTGCCCTGCACTCATTATCTAGCTTCAGACTTACAGATATTTGAGTTCTTCTGAATCCCTAAAATCATTTAAAAAAAAAAAAGATAAGAATTTGGAGCATTGAGAAAGAGAGGGGGTGAAGAATGACACCAAGATTTTGTCCTGAGCAATGGAAGAATGAATTCAACTGCAGTGATAAACTGCAGGAGAGCTGGTCTGGGGAGGGGAGAGGGGCCGCAGCAGATATCAGGAGCTCAGTTTTAGATATGTTGAGTTTAAGATGCCTGTTAGACACCAGAAGACCCTGGGTTGGGGTAGGCTTCTAACTGAAAGATTGGCAGTTCGAGTCCACACAGAGGATGAGCCTTGGAAGAAAGGCCTTGGTAATCTACTTCTAAAAAATCAGCCATTGAAAACCTTATAGAGCACAGTTCTACTCTGACACCCACGGGGCTGCCATGACTTGGAACTGACTACAGGGAAACTGGTTTTATTAGACACCAAAGTGGAGATGTCAAGTAAACAATTGGTTTTATGGGTCTGGAGTTGAGGGGATAAGTCTGGGTTGAAAATAAGATGACTGAGAGTCAAGAGCATATACAGATAATTTAAAAAGACACATTAACTAGGGTTGCAGATTTAGCCAGTATAGTACAGATCACCCAGTTAAACTGAATTGCTGAATAACAATAAATGGTTTTTTGGTGCAAGTCACGAATACTACATGGAGTATACTTATATTAAAAATTACTCACTGTTTAATCCAAATTTAACAGGATGCTCTGTATTTTATCTAGCAAACCAACATTAAAGGAACATTGTGGTGAGATTAAGGAGCCCTGGTGGCGCACTGGTTAAGCACTCGGCTGCTAACTGAAAGGTCTGTGGTTCAAAGCCACAATCTGCTCCGAGGGAGAAAGATGTGGCAGTCTGCGTCTGTAAGGATTTACAGCCTTGGAAACCCTGTGGGACAGTTCTACTCTGTCTTGTAGGGTTGCTATGAGTCAGAATCGACTCGACGGCAATGGGTTTGGTTTTTTTGGTTTGTGGTGAGATGAACTACTCATGATACATGTATTCCTGGCTCTTTCATTAAAATGAGAAGTGCAGACCTAGTTTTTAGTTCATGAATCTTCAAACTGCTCCTGTTCTAGCTCCGTTACTGAACCCACATGCATTTCTGAAAGGTCACTCAAAACTCTTTGCACAGGATTATCTCTACTACTTCTGTGTGAACAAGGAGAGATACAGACCTTTTCTTAGTCTTAAATGTGTATACTGACATCAAAGTATGTGTGAAAAACATAAGAACAACTTTCTGCACTCCCCGGAAGTGATTGTTATGTGAGAGCAGTTGGTTTTCCCCAAAGTTGCTTGTGATTGTTATTTTTGGATGCATTTTTTTTAGAGTATTTTCCTTTTGAATAAACTCTTATATATTTCTCTTTTAGGGGAAAAGCTTCCAGGCAGTAGCCAAGATCCAGTTTGTTTTATTTTTCTTGACTGACTTGCATTTCCTACTGTATGTAAGAGAAAGTCAAGAGGAGAGGATATTGGATTGTTTCAGGGTTAGGAAGGAAGGAAGCCCTATAGGACCTGTTAATCTGACTCATTTTGGCATTTTAAAGCATGTTCCTAAGAGAGTGATCACAAGTCCTTTGGGAAAGTGGTCAGCATAACCACCCATTGCAGTCGAGTCCATTTCTGACTCATAGCAACCCCATGTGACAGAGTAGAATTGCCCATAGCGTTTCCAAGGCTGTAATATCTATGGAGAAAGAGATTTCTACGGCCACCACCAGC